AAAAAAAAATAAAAAGTTTAAAAAAATCGTTCACCGAAACCCCATTACAGCAACGTTGTCAATTAACTTGGGTTCAATTTGGATATAACGGACACTTCCGAATCAAGAAATGACTTCTTTGAAACGTTTTTCGCGAATTCGGTCCCAAAAACTGGTAATGAAGTGATCGGAGTAGATAGCGATTCGATGGCGAGCCATGTCTGGGCTATGCTGAGACGTGGACTTCCAGGATTTCCTATCCCAACCCTTTTTTTGGGTTATGTCGTTCTCATAATGTATGGTTTCGCGTTGCCATGTTGGAGTACAACTTTTTACTGCAACGTAACCACGCAAGGTTGAAAAATCTTCCACCATTCTCCGTATAGCCCAAAATAAAAACGATTCCATTCGGAACAGATCCAATTGTCACCGTTCCAGCCCAATAACAATGAGATTACGGTAAGAATTTGGATCCATACCGAATTTTTCGTTTTTGTCAGCCCAAATATGTCTCCCTTGGATTATAATCGATTCAAATTATTTATCAAGATAAAAATAAAGAGTGTAAGATGGTAAACATGACGTTGCCCTTTGATTTACTGTCTTAGTGACCTCATATTTCTTCTAAGGACAAGAGCGATTGTGACAAGGAAGTTTACAATAATAAGGTTAATGGCAGACGAAAACATATTTTGTTTTCAAATATCCAAATATTTTTTGTTTATATTTTTAAGCTTGAATATTTTGAGACAACATATGAAATGATAATCCAGATGAGTAACCTCTTGTAAAATCTCTAAAACTGCAAGGAAACAAAGGAAAGCCTAGATCTGGCAGAAGGCAACTGAGCTGCTGAAGTTCCAATCCAGCCATTTTTATCTAATTTGTTATTTTTTACCGTAAAATATCTTTTTTTATGAAATTTAAACCCTACAGAGCAAGTAGACATCATTACTGAAGTAGTTGGGTAGATTTGACTCTTTAGTTCTTCATAGGAAAGATTTACAGGTACCGGGAGCTGCGTGGGATTAACGCTAGGGGTAGGGAAGACGAAGATACAGGGATAACTACAAGTTTACATGTCTATTTATAGCAAAAAGCCAGTGCAAAAGCGGGGGCAGCAGTGAAACGAGGGGAGCGATTGGAGATGTTTGCCATCCAGGGGCGAGGCGTGGGTGAGAGTGCGGATAATTCGGCGGCTTCGGAAGCACATATTCGGCAGGAGGAGGAGGCGGCACATAAACGAAGACATTGATCTCAATAAGCACTTGGGCGCCTTCTCGACAAAGTGCCTATCAAATCACAGAGGGACGCGGCATGAGATTTCGCCCAGCCATCCGGAAAAGCAGATTGAAGAAGAGATAAACTGAAGAGCTACGGGTTTCCAGGGATATCCTCCACCTACGGGTGCTACTTATTCCTGAAGTCATCCTATCGTGAAGTGAAGAGCGGATTTTCAAGAACGGATTAACACTTAAACTGAAAAGTTCTGAGAAGTTTCAGCGTTCTCAGAACTCTCAACACACGAATAGGTGATGTCTCAAGTGGCACTTTGCAATAAGTGATGCAAGTGGGGTGTTGATTTTCAGAATCCCACTGCAGCATTCCTATAATCTCTTTTGGTTTTGCTTTTCCGGTAGCGGCGATTCTAGCTAGAAAACGACATCAGCTGCTCATGGAAAATGCTCTTCTTGGACATCGTCATCTGAGATAAGCAGAAGTGAAGTGCGAATTTCACAAATACGTGAAGGAACACGTAATCGAAGATGAAAGGAAACGAACTTTAGGGAACGGAGGTGTTATGGTTCCAGAAGCGTCTTTTTATATGGGAATTGGTATTTGAATCAGCTTATCAGCTGTATAGAGAAGTTGTTATTTGGTCCACTGGGAATCTCAAGTGGGATAACCTTAACATAAACATGATTTTATAGGCTTCCATACACACCAATCAGACGTTCTAGTAAAGATTATTAAGGCTAACAGTTAGATACGTTCGAGAATACCCGCTGGAATTCTGCTGTAATCCCAATTACAGATGGGAGAGGTAATGTAGGGAGCTGCTAGTACTCGCATAGTCCAAGAATCAAACCTGAACTGACTCCCAACCAGCTGCAGAAACCCTCCACAGGGCAGTAAGGTATCCGTGTCTTCGAGAAGGTTGAAAGATTATTTCGTACTCTGTCTGACCTTCGAATTTCTCGTGTGGAAAAAAGCATTTTTCAATTGCATAGATCTAGACTGAAATAGGGTGCATGGCGTATCAAAAATGAGACTGATCAACATCGAAAGCCCAAGCGTGGTTGTTTGATTTCTTTATAAAAAGATTGAGCTCAGAAGGTGGTCACCTACATGTTTGATTACATAGTGTTGTGATTTCATCGAGAAAAATAATAATAAGAAACAATAGTGATAATTGACATTATTGTTGAAGTAACCCATTATATGTACCCATGGCATGGTGAATCTTCGTTTTAACCATCCATAGTCGTTATAAAAAGATTGAAGCAAGCGAACATAACTGTGGTTGGATCTACAGCTTACAGTAGGAAGAAGCTGAACATGAGGTAAAGCCACTTCCGTGAGGGTAAAGCAGGAACCGAAAGGGAATCAGGTTTATAGTGTCTAATGTAACAGTGTTTGATAGTTTATTACCCTCTCGGAATTTCCTATTTAGAACTTCAAAATCCTGTGTCATCAGAATTTTACAGTGACCTCGAAGTTGCCATCTAAAATATTATGTTCGCAAAAAATCCCATGCTCACAATTTGTTCAGTGGCTTCCCTCGTTTAGGATTCTACCGAGCCGTCCATCTTTCAGCTTTGACAGACCTCCATGGACTTCCATTTACCATCGATTAACGAGCCTTATGAGCATTCAAATATGTTTTTGCCTCCTCAGGGATTATATTGGGG